TTATTACAATTATTATATTATTGTTGCTTTTGTTAAAATAATCACAAGATATGGTCACAAGATGAATATTCTGATATTTTCCCCAGTAGTCTGTTTTATTCAAACAATTATGAAAATTTTTGCTTTTAGATACAGAAGAACTTTGGCTGTTGAATATTAAAAATAAATTAACAAACAAAAAATCTGGATCTCCATGTCTGCATGCAAATCAACTGTTGCTGCTCATTCCCAGACTGGATCTCTTCTCTCCACTTTCCCTAATTGCAGATTCAATAAGTATCTTTTCCTTGTAGTTTTTGTCCTAACCACCCGCGACAGCGACACGTGACAATAAGCGACACGGGATTCTATTTTAGGAATGGTTTTAATTTTCTGCGACATTGCAGCAGGAACAACATACAAAATATGACAGTGATAATCTCGGGTAATGATTATGTGCTTTATTCAATGTTAAAAGTGCATTTACTCAAAAATTTTCAGTCCATTCACATTTGAATCGTCTATTTTCCGTGTCCATTTTTCTTTTCTACACACTCGGCATGTTTTTGCTGTCACATCGTATCTACACTGGACGCGACAAAGCATTGCAAATCATTTGAACGTTGTGTCAGTACGTTATAAATAGAACGAGTCAGCAGTTTACTGTCGGGGACCGCATCCAAGACAGCATCACTGATTATAACGAGTTCTTGTATTTTATTGCGTCACGCCGCGCCGGGTGTAGACACGATGTAAGTTATGTAGCTTTCTGATGCTGCGTTTGAATTTTCATGCTACATTATTTGAAATTAGCGCGTGCCAAACTTTTTTCTCTCACAGGCCGGATGTGGACCGCGGGCTGCCTATTGAGGAACCCTGTGTTATAAATATATATATTTCCTGTAACATAATTATTCAAATATATATATATATATCATTAATATCCAAACACTCTCGGCGGTACTAACCCGAGCTCTCGTCCACGCGCTCCTCCACTGTGTGCTCCTTCTGATGGACCCACTCGCTGTTGCACTTGAAGTAGATCTGCGTGGCTGGTGTGGCTTTGCAGTACAGGTTAACGGGCTTGTTCTTGATGATGTACGCCTCCTCTGGCTCCATCAGGAAGTGCGGGAGCGGCTCGGGCGGATCCGAGGGGAACGTCTCCGGGAGTTCACCCAATCCCAGATAGTCGTCATCTACAGAGGGAGGAGATGAGAAGGAGTGAGTGTTTTTTAGAGATTGTTCATGTACATGTGTTTACCTGCGAGGCTGTGAGCTACTGTTCGCGACAGCTAAAGAGAAACAGACCCAGACGCTCGTTGTGGAGAGACTGTGATCACATGCTGCTTGTGCATGTAAGGAAAGACATGTATTCCAACAGGCACGAAACTAATTCACTTTCTGCATTTCACTTCTGCTCTTGCTTGTGTACTAGTCCAGCTCATACTTTAAAGTTGTCACTGAGCACTAAAAACATAAAAAAATTAATTGTACCTCATTTGTAAGTTGCTTTGGATAGAAATGTCTGCTGAATGAATAAAAGCGGATGGATGGATGGATGGACAATCGGACCGATAGATAGATAGATAGATAGATAGATCTGTCATTTGAACAGAAAGATAGTCGCATAGATGGATGGACAGACAGACAGATAGATAGTCAATTGGATAGAAAGATAGTTGAGTAGATGGATAGACAGACAAAGTCGGATAGATAGACAATCAGACAGATAGATATTTGGATAGACTGACAGAAAGACAGACAAATAGTCGGATAGACAGATGTGCAATTCAGTAAATTCCTTGTCCCGTCATTTCCGTTCAACTTCAACGTGTTGAAGGCAATTCATTCAATTTCAAACTCTGTATCTTATACTTATAAATCATGTTGTATGTATTTGATCTTGTATGGCTAGAAGCGATTGCGTTTACGTACTTGCATACAGTATGTTTGGTGCCTGAGACTAAATAAGTGAGTTTTCATTTCCCACAAACCTGCAGCTGTCTTCTTCAGCCGAGGGAATCTGGTTTATTTAATTCCACAGATATTTGTCTGCAGACGGGTAACCGTCCCCTGTAATTACGCCTGGCTTTCATCAGAGCCCTGCCTCACCTCGTCTCACCAGTGTCTTCCTCATCAAACACAAACCTATATTTATCTGACGCTGGCGGAGCGACGGGGCTCATGGAGAAAAGTAAACAGGAAGAGGCAATCGACATTCCCTTCGAGGGCTATGAAACAGCACTTGAGACGGATTGGGCTCTATACGTCCCGTGTTTGCCGGTCGCGTTCTAATATCTGCCCTCTGGCTCCACGTCTCTCCATGAGAGGGAAACGCAGAGGCGGTCGACACCTGCAAATACGCTTTCTATTCTTAACAACCGGCCGCCAGACATCAATTATTTACACAGAAGGAGAATGAATCTGGAGCGAGAGACAGAAAGGACAGCAGATTACTGGCCACACCGCGTCTCGCCGCACCTGTACACTCTTAAAAATAAAGCTTCTTTATTGGCATCAATGGTTCTATGAAGAACCTTAAACATCCATGGAACCTCTCAAATGCAGAAAAAGTTCTTTATAGACGAAAAGGGTTCTTTAGATTTCAAAAATGTTCTTCAAAATGGTTCTTTTAAGAACTGTTCACTGAAAGGTTCTTTGGGGAACCAAAAATGGTTCTTCTATGGAATCACTGCAAAAACACTCTTTTGGAACCTTTATTTTTTAAGAGTGTAGGGTTGGGTATCGTTGGAATTTTATCGATTTCGATTCCTATTCTGCTTATCAATTCCAATTCTTATTGATTCCTAGTTTCGATTCCAATAAGATAAAAAAAAATCCAATATAAAAAAATGAAGTCAGACTTTTAGATGTCAAACATTTATTCTGTCTTTATACAAATCATTCTGTTGCAGCTGAATAACATGAGCAAAACTCAGCAGCCTACAGAACATTTACCAAGAGGAACAAAAATACCACAGCAAAAACAACTAGACTAATATAAATTTCAAATATTAAAGTGTTAAAGACAAGTAAACAGTCAGTAATAAAACAGGAACAAACAAATCAATTAGCAATAGCATAAATTAATACAACTGAACCAAATTCCAGGCAAAGAAACTGTAATTAAAAGTTTAAAAACACTGCATAGTTTACTTTTCATAAATAAATATAGATTAATTCAAGTTATGAAAGATATTCAGTCAAGATCAGTGAATGGTTTTCTTTTGTTCTTTGATTAACATTAATGACAGGCAGCGCGTTTATAGGCTGCTGTCTCTTTAACACCGAACGCACGCAGATCTAAAAATACTGTACACCTGCGTTTTCTTTCTCATCTGTTTACGTTCACTTAAGACAAATGATGATATACTGACGTAGTTTTCTGCATACTGGTCGATAAACATGAAAGAAGTCAGTTCCGGCCCGTAACAACCTTTTCTGCAGTGAAATGCACGCAAACAAGGTGCAAGTTCTTTCCGTTCCTGCGCTTAAATCGTTTAAAATCACATTAAAATGCGAACGCAGGAATCGTTAAGCAGAATCGAAATCGAATACCCGCTTCTTGGAAATTTGGAAGCGGGTCTAAAATGGAACCAGTTTTCACCGCCCTGCAGACCTTGTCAGGGAGCAGCATTGACATCACATCAATATCAGCCGCAATGTAACGGGCCCGTGTCTGAGTGTTAGGGGAACGAGGAGATGGAGGTGAACGGGTGAGACTGCATTAGCACATAGAGCCCCAGGGGATTCTGGGTAGAGTGTGGCTGCTTTCCATCACGTGTCGGTCTTAAATCACACCTGCCCCGTCACCGGCCTCTAATCACCTGCTAATTGAAGGGGAGCCGTAACCTCTGCTTGACCCTCCGCATTGGTCACCTGACACATCTGAGCATGCATGACCTTCTGAACGAAACGACGGAAAGTTGAGGCCATTTTCAAAAACTGTAACTACATTTAAACATTTAACAAAGAAACTGTAAAGTGTGCAAGCGGCTATATGGTTGCAAGTGTGTTCTGGGTGGTTTCTAGGTATTTTCTTCTTGTCTGGAGTGAAAAGAGTCCTACACCCTCAAGTATCTGTGATCTTCTGATTCTTAAATGTGCATCTGTGGGATTTTTCCACCTATTTTATCGTCCAGCAGATGAAAACTATAAATCACATTCACGTTTACTCAAAGCAGTAATTCTAACATTCGCCTCAGTGAGACCCACTAATTATTTATTGAACATTGGTGTATTTTGTGATATTGCTGCTGCTCTTGCCACTTTATAAAAGCAATAAGCCACAAGAGGCCGTGTATTACCGTGATTTTACCAGTGGTTTACCTCTTCACTTTGAGCCTGGGCTTAAGAATGCTTTTTAACCATGGTAAAATCACTGTAACAGATGGCCTCTCGGGGCTTATTGCTTTCGGTCTATGAATGCTTATTGGCTTTCTTTAACAAAAATTAAAACACATGGTGCTGTACTTTAAAAAACTGGCACGGGGCATTAACATTCGGTCTCTATTATAGGGCAGAGAGACACAGCGCACCACAGCAACACAGGAAAAGCATTCAGAGAGCTTCCCATCGGACAGTATCTGAGCAAACCAGGGCAGGTTTATCAGTTCGACAATTAGCTGTGGACCAGAACCATGACCCGGTGTGACTGCCAGCCCTGCCGAGCATGATCGCTATCTCAGTCACACACACATGCATCCAAACACACACACTTGAACATTTCTTGAACGCTGCCCTCGTGCCAAGCCACTGACAGCCATGTAAGCCTCGCAGACACCGAGACGTCCCCGACTCCTGCCAGCGCTCCAGACCTTGACCCAAAAACGGCCTCCTAGAACGGAGGAAACTCGCGGAGTCGCGCTATCTGTGTCTCGCGGCAGGCCTGAGAGATCAGACGGTGGCATGAAAGGCTTCGGCGTGCCGTCTCCTCATGCGATCTCCAATTCATCAACCTCCACAGCAGCAGAAATAATGAATAAAAGAGGCTCTCTGGTCAAAAAGCACACGAGAAATGGAAAAACATGACAAAAAATGCCCTCGCGCCAACAAGCCCCCACTGATTTGCAGATCTCTAGTGGACAAAAGAGAGAGAAAACAGTTCACACTCACTCCTGCATCAAACCCACGACATAATGCAGCACATGCTGCGCCAATCAACCCTGTCTGTCTGTAAGGCAAAACCACTGTTTCTTTTTCATGCACTGGTCAATTTTGAGATTTCAGCCTATTTTGCTTCTGTAACATGTGCTTTTAATTAACTGGGGAAAGCATGGTAATGTCTATTTTACCCTATTCATCTGTTTTGTCTGATCTTAAAGGAATAGTTCACCCAAAATGAAAATTTGTTGAAAGTGTTTGTTTGTTCATGGGAACAGATTTGGAGAAATGTAGCACTGCATCAGTGTCTCAGCAAATTCCAGGTTTTCTGGACAATAGACTGTGGTTCTTTCCCAGCGGTCCGAGGGGCCGTGTTGGGCTCCGCCCCGTCTGCATGCCGTCACGCTTCACGCCAGGCTACCACGCTTTGATGCTGGTGCTCGGGGATGTAATTTGAGTCACAGTTATCACAATCACATCTAGAAAACTCAACCACACCTTCCCCTCGGAGAAATAGGCCTTCCATCGAATTAAAACACGAGAAAGAACGGGAATAAAAGTCCCTGACCTTGAATCATCTAAAGCTGTTGAGTTGCTGTCACAGGCCGAGTGTCTTTTAATTGCATGTTTTTTAGCTTTAGCAGTCACACCGCACAGCCACCGTGTGACCTTCGTCACCTCTGGAAACTAGAACAACACGCTTACGGCAATTAGCGTTTCATCTCCTCTGGTGCAATGCTTCATGAAACCACTCGCAGCAGAAGTCTGTTCGCGTTTACCCATGAATCTGCAATCCTTTCGAGTGATTTTAATCAGAAATCTCCCAAATTGCTTCCATATGATGTGAGAAAAAAATTTTTCCATACATTTCCACGGAGGCTATAAGAATACGCAAAAGGATCATATTATGCCATAGTACTATAATAACCGAAAAGGCTTTTCTGAATATCAATCCACATGTGAATTTGGATTATGATGCTTATTTTATTGTTTGCATAAATCAAATTAAAACAAATCTGGAGGGGAAACAATTGGGTTTTGGCTTCACTGAGCAACTAGACACCATGTTGGTTTTCTACTTTTCCAGTTAAAT